GGAGTATTTGAGCTAAAGACCAGACTAGACTTGTCGAAATTGATACGTTGACCAGAGGCAAGACAATAATTCTCTAAAACAACTTTAAGCTTCTCACAGTTTGCTATGTCAGCTTTAGAAAAAAAAAGCGAGTCATCCGCAAAGAACAAGTGGGAAAGGATAGGGCTTCGACGAGAAAGCTTGATACCTTGGATGTGCCCCTCATCAACATGCTTGGACAGATTGCGCGAAAGGGCTTCACACACAAGGAGGAATAAATACGGGGATATAGGGTCACCTTGTCTTAAGCCCCGGGAGGGCACAAAAGGGGGCCCCGGTTTCCCATTTAACAGAACAGCAAAAGAAACAGAGTTTACACAGGCCATGATAAGCCGGACCCAGCCAGCGCAAAAACCCATTTTCTTCAAGATGGCTTCCAAGAAGTCCCACTCAACTCTATCATAAGCCTTGTTCATGTCCACCTTTAAACCCAATTCAAACTTATTACCAGATTTCTTCAATTTCAAGTAGTGGAAAGCCTCATGGGCAACAACAATATTGTCCTGAATCTGCCTCTCATCAAGAAAGGCGTTTTGGTGGTCAGAAACCAGCAGCGGCATGAGGTTCTTCAACCTATTAGCTAGAACTTTGGAGAGAATCTTATAGGAAGAGTTGCACAAGCTGATGGGCCGGAACTGAGAAGGTTTCTCAGGCTTTTGCACCTTAGGAATCAGAGCTATGTGAGTCCCATTGACCTCACGAAGAGAGAAACTCCCAGAAGCAAAGCCATCAGCCGTACCAAGAATAATGGCTTTGGCAACATGCCAATAGCGCTGGTAGAACAGAGAAGGGAAGCCATCGGGGCCAGGGGCTTTGAGAGAACCAAGTTGATCCGCAGCAGCACGAATCTCCTCCTCGGAGAAAGGGGTCAGAAGATCAAAGTTCATATCAGGGCTCACCAACTGTGGGATGGCATCCAAAATATTTCCCCAGTCTCGAGGGCCACTTGAGGTAAAGAGATTGTTGAAATAGTTGTGGAACTCCTCGTGGACCAGCTTCTCTCCATTCAACCACAAACCAAGGCCATTTCTGATCCTAAGAACCCGATTCTGTTGTCTCCGTTGTACGGTGGTAAGGTGAAAAAATCTAGAATTTGTGTCACCCGCTTTCAACCAGTTAAGACGCGATCTTTGGCTCCAATATAAGGCTTCATTTTTCCAAAGACTGGCTAGCTCACGTTTAACAGCCTCTTTAGTCACATCAATCTCCCCAAGTGGGCGAATAGTCTGGTAAGCATCGAGCGCCCCGAGAAGCTGCTTGATACGCACTCTGTTATTTGGGTGGCGATCCTTGCTCCAACGAATAAGGCCCAATTTGCAGACTTCCAGGTTACGAGACCATTGGCTTAAAACAGAGCCACCAAGGTCATTCCTCCAGCACTCAGCAATCACATCCATACAGGAAGGGTCTTCAGCCCATTGAGCTTCGAACTTAAAGAGCTTCTTGCCTTTAGCGAAGGCCGGATTAGTGTCAAGAAGGATGGGGCAGTGATCCGAGCCTACACGAGGGCAATGGGTGACACAAGTATTAGGCCACAAATCAAGCCACTGAAGATTTGACAGGCCCCTATCCAACCTCTCTCTTAGATGGATTTCACTGCCAACTCGGCGCTCCCAGGTAAAAGGCTGGCCAAAAAAGCCGAGATCCACTAATTCAAGGTGGTCCATAAACTCCAATAAAAATCTTTTGCGATTAGAGTTCCAACCACTACCACCCTCTTTTTCTGACTCCCAACAGATCTCATTAAGATCACCAATAATAACCCAAGGTAGGCTACCACAGTTACCAAGATTATGAAGCTTGTCCCAGAAATCAGATTTTTCGCTTCTGTAAGGAGTACCATACAACCACGTAGCTCTGGCGAACAGATTTTCAGAATCCACACGGATCACAGCATCGATCCAGTGTTTAGTGGAGTCAAAAATACCAATCTCGATAGAGAGTGTGTGTGTACCTTAGTGGCCAATTTCATTATTGTTGAAATTATTCTAGCACTCCAGCCTTCATCTTCAACCAATCTAAAGCAATTAACAGCACTGAAAGTAAAATCATACAAATTGGCGAATCTGCTGCTCAACTTTGATGGGAGCTCTTTAAGATACAGAACTGTCAAGGGGTTCCCCAACCCTTGACAATTCCAAGCAAGTTGTATCATAATTGGCGTGCGGTTGTTTGAGGCCAGCCGCCACCACCCTGGAGGGGGACAACATCCTCCTTCCCCTTTGCTTTCCTTCTACCTTCCCACTCTGCCAACTCCTTTGAGGGACTAATCTGGACTTCACACAACTCCGAGTTCTGCACCACAAAGGAAGTAGTCGTTAGACCGGGTGCGTCAAACCGAGCGCTAGATGGACGGCCCCTACCTCCCTTACTCCGGCCACGCCCTCCCCTGCCCCCTCTATTAGACAGACGGAGGGAGCAGCCAGGGGAGGGACTGAAGGCAGCCCTAGACTTTTTGGCCGGTTGGGCATGAGGATGGTGCAGCTTTTCGTTCTTAACAGTTCCTAAATCAGTGCGCTTTCTCTTCCCCTGACCCGACACAACCGAAGACTCAAGGGAGGGAGACTGATTTACTTCTTCAATTAACACCCCGGTTACAGGGGTAGGCCCATCTTCATGTAACGCTTTGCTACGAACCAAGGGTGAGAGTTCCAGCTTAGCGTCACCAGCTTGTGATTTGTGGAGCAGCCCGTCGCCAACATTATGACGTGTGAGGCCTGAAAAATTGCCTATTTCCTGGTTTGTGAACCCCAAAGGCCCATTCTCTTTCTCTAGGGCCCAAGGTGAAGCCCGGAGAGGATCACACCAGCCTGTTTCCATAGAAAGCCCACTGATGGCTATAGACACAGCGCCCTTATAAAACTGGGTCCCATAGCTCTCGGGTTCCCACCTACCAGCATTTTCCTCTGGAGTAACCATGCGCCTGGATGGACCTGCACCCTCCTGTGAAACAGGTTGTACATGCATAACAGGCTGGGCTGCCTCAAAAGTCCCAAGTTGCAGCATGGCATGCTGTAAATGCGTAGCAGACTGAGCAACCTCAAAAGTCCCAATTTGTAGCTTGGCAGGATTTACATGCGTAACAGGATGGGCGACCTCAAGGGTCCTGCGATGCATCAGAGAATGTTTATGTGGAACTGCAGGTTGAGTGGATGTTGCGCAGTCAGCAGAATCAACTTGCCCATTGACTAGAGGTAAATCCCCACTATACCCTCGACGTCCATCGGAATTAGCAGCATCCGGCCGGCGGTTCCCCCAGCGGGGAGTGTCTGTACGAGTTCCAGCGGTCGTTGGGAAGAGACGCGTGGAGGCTCTGGAGGTTGGTGGAGCACGGAGTGAATCATCATCCCGTAGGTTCTGAGCGAGAAGCCGCTGATCTGGTTTGCCCCCGCAACCTCTAGTGTGACCCAGGCACCCACAACTAAAACAGAAATCACGTAGGCCTTCATAGCATATCCGAATGGTTCGTTTGCCTTGAACATGGCAAGGCATTATAAATCCCACCGGCAGGGGTTTAGAAGCATCCAACTCCCCCCTGATCCGCATAAATCCACGAAAGCCAACCACATCAATCTGCTCAACTTCCAACACTGCGCCAATCCGTGCCCCCAGCATGCGAGCATTCTTGGCGGTACAAAAATTCCTTGGGACGCCATGCGCTTGGATCCAGAAAATGGCTCGGTCCGGCTGTATATCGTCAACTGAATGATATAACGGCCAGTGCTTGACTGTGAATACATACCCCTTTATGAACCAAGGATTACCATCGAGAAGTCTGCGGGCAATAGATTCGTTGCCTACTGTTAAAGAATAGACATTGGCTTTTGCTTTGCAGATCTTGACCACTCCCATGTTGGTCCATAGTACACGTAAGATCTCCTTCACTGTGGCCAGAGGTGGCTCATGCTCCGCCACGAGCAAACCCACCAAGGCAATTTTATCGTAAAACGTATCATCGAGTTCCACTTTATCTTCAAAGAAAATAGACAGGCCTTCATCCCCCTCTGCGTAATCCCCCGATTGACAGTCAGCCATGGCTGGGCTGCGGAAGGGAAGGAGAGAAGAAATAGGAGAGGAGAGTAAAAAAGACACCTTAAAACACCATACCAGAAGAATAGGCAGGGTTCACAGTAAAGCTCACTCAGAGCTCACAAAGACTGATTCGCCGAACCCTTCTCGGTGTTACTTAAATGTTGTTAGATTGTTGATTTGGGAGACTTTGTTCCCAACATTTCATATGTATTTCCAATTTTCTATTTGTTCATCACTGTTTGTTTCCCTTACTAATCACATCTTTTAATTTAGTCCCGAGTCTAACTTTAAATGGCGTTATGTTTTGACAAGAAAGTTGGGTCTTTTCCATGTGTTCTTCTTTGTTTAGTTGCTCGAGTTTAATCACATTTTCATCTCTCGATATTACGCGGGATATAATCTATAATGTGTTTCCTTTCCTCTGAATCAAATCAAGGGCATAACTTATCTGCACTTGGAATTGTGAAGGCTCATTTTGTTCTCATGCTCACTACCTATATGAGGAAAGTCCTCTATGGATTGCATCATGGAGTGAGAGGAAAAAAATAAATTTAAAACATGTGAATATTGCATCGTAGCTAGGTTCATTTTAAGCATGTCAATATGCATACGAACCATGATATCTTTACAATCAATCTTGCTGCACTTGTATATTTCTGATTAAGTCATTACTTGGATTTCTTTGCTGCTTGTTTTGAAGCAATGTTATGCAAAACATGGCTCTGTTAGTTTAATCCAACACTTACTTGAATTTTCCAATGCATGTATTGGTTGTATCTGGCGATCAGCTTTTCATGTGAGTTGTTGTGCTTTGTGATAGGAAACCTCTTCTATTTGAGTGGTAAATTTTGTTTTACTTACAGCTTAATAAATATACTAATTTATGTTTCTATACAGAAGAAACAACAAAGTCAAAATATTTCCATAACGTTTTGAAGTTATTCTCAAAAGCAAATCTGGTGCCAAACAAAAGAAGATGCAATGGGAGCCTCCAGTGGACCAAGGCTTTCTGGGATGCAGAAACAAGTCCTTGGTCTATACAGAGGGTTTCTGAGGGCAGCCCGTGCAAAATCTGCTGAAGATCGACAACAGATTGAGTCACTTGTGTCAATTGAGTTCCGCCGCAATGCCAAGGAGGTAGACCCCAAAAATTTCCTTTACATTGAGTACTTGCTTCGCCGTGCTAAGAAACAGCTTGATCAGCTCATGAGCCCCGATATTGTTGGATTATCAGCCCTGAATGTCAGTTTTTCACAGATAAAACATCCTACAAATTGAAGTAAGAATTTCATCTATTCTTATTTACTTGTCGAGCCAAATTTAGTTTGATCCATTGTTTAACACAGAGCAACAGAGGAAAATAAATTTTTGGCTGAAATTTCCATGTTACTATAAAATCTCAATGTAAGCTATTCAGAAAGCTATAAATTGTGCGATTCATTGATGGTCATGGCCTGTTTCAAGTCCTGTTTTCTGTGTTGCTTATTGTTCGTTAGACGATAAATAAAGACCAAAGATTGATTTGTGACAAGTTGCGATAGAAGATTGTGGTTTGTTTGATGGGAATGGTAAGCAAATATTACTTTCGAAGACGGATTAATAAAATGATACATAGAAATATAATTCAAAGTTGCATTTAGTATTAACAAACTTGAAATAATAAAAAATATCCTGCGAATGTGCCTCCCCATCGTCCCCAACTTAATGGCTCACTAAAGCAAGACCCAAAAAACAAAACTGCAACAAACTAAGAAATGGAGAAGACAATAAAACCCAGAAGAGCAAACAAGGAAAAGAACCCAACAAGATGGTATGGCCATAAAACAGAACAGGAACCCAAATTCAACCTCGACAATCAGGAACCAAAACCTCAAGCAAAGAATGCTCATCGCACAAAAGCATCTTTATTACAATTAAAGCAGTCCATTGGATCAAAAGAAAATGGTATTGAAGCAAATCATTGCTTTTCTTACTATGAGCTTATTATTTTCATGCGATATAAAAGAGGATTTGCTTATATTGCCCAATCTTCCATCTAGTATAACTGATATATCTGTCTTATAAGGCGAGACAAATAATATGAGAATGGGGGTTAAGTCAGTTGGCCAATGCATTAAGCTGGACCCTTTGCACTCAAGTTTGAATCCCACTCCCCGTAAATTAGATTAATTTAGAGACGATTATCACTTGCATTAAAAAAAAATAGAAACATATATATAGAAGTTTACCAGTTTTGATCTCTCTTTTGCATTTTCTTTCTCAATTTTAATTTCTTAGTTTATATATTTCATCAACTTCATCCCATAAACCATTAACCTAAAGAAGTGAACTTTATGCGACTTCCTTTCACTCTTCCCCTAACATGTGCTGCCTTCTAGACTACATTGACTATGAGGGATGCTGCATTTTAGGTCCAGATTAATCAAAGTCTGACACCACATATATCTTCCTTTAATGGGGAGCAAACTTATATAAATAATTATATGACAGCACTCCTATTCAAAGGAAAATATATTTTAATACAAGTTGGAAGGAGGAAGTGGACTTACATGCATAAGACAAGTAAAGAGTTTGTTCGCATTTTCACTACATCACTTGCTTCTGAGTTCAGATAACCCAAGACATAATTAATCACCCACATGTCAGTCTGATATAGTGATCTAAGTGAGGGAACACTTGCAATTTGGTGTGATTAAGAAAAGATTTATGGAGCACCAGAATCCCCTACAAAGTTGAAATGGTCACTGAAATTATTTTGAATTCTGCTATAGTTATGTCACTCTCTACTCTAATTTTGGAATGCTATCTACTGATTTCCATTTAATTATGTTTTCAACTCTATTCTATGTCTTGATTTCAACTCATATCAGTCACCACACCAGAAATCCTCTCACAAAATTTTCTTAGAGAGATGGTAAGGGCAATTCCATTTCTGATCATATGATTTTGTGATTAAGAAGATACAGTAGAAGAGCAAATATGGCCTCAGCTGCCACTGATCTCTTGATTGGCAAAGTTGTAGGTATTCTTGAGAGCGAAGCATCCTCCATAGTAGGTGTTCGTGGCTCCACAAAACCATTCAAATTCCAAAGTATAGGGGTCGATTTGCAAGCTGCCTCCACAAAGCCATTCACATTCCAAAGAAACTTTGGTATGTTGGAAAAATGGCTCACATTTAGTATGCAAGTGAAGGAGTGAGCGACCGGTCGCAAGGTTTGGGC